GAGACAGAGCGTGAGCAGGGGAAGGGCAGAGGGAGGGGAAAACACAGAATCTGAAGCAGGCTTCAGGCTCTGAGTTGTCAGCACAGAGCCTGACACGGGGCTCAAACTCACAAACTATGAGATCTTGACCTGAGTCGAAGTTGGACGCTTAACCAATGGAGCCATCCAGGTGGCCCTTTAGATAGTATTTTTTAATATGCAATTTTCTTAGATTCGATTCTTTAGGAGCAGAACCTGAAATGGGACTCCTGTGCAAGTGGTTTATAGAGGGAATGTTCTCAGGATAAGCTGAACGGGGGAACCAAGACGGGGCGAAGGAAAACACAAAAGATGGAAGCGGTCTCAGCCGGAGACTAGCTTCAGCCTGATCCCACGGGGAGCGCTGGAGTATGGTTGGTCCTGGTTTGAGGTGCCCCTGGGTCAGGAGTTATTGGCTATAGGCTGTCCAAGTAGGGAGATCATGTCCTGCACAGGGCGACCCTGGAGGCAGGGCTCTGGGGCCATTAGCAGCTGACACTGAGCACCCGGGCAGGGCCTGCTTCCAGCACCAAGCCAGAAGGGAAGCTGGACAGGGCACCCACGGCGACGACTGGGTCCACCCCATGGACGCTCCTACCTACTTGTTTCTCACATTAAGTTCAGTCCATTCAGACATAGATTCTCCGGTGTTCCAGTGGGTCAGAGTATTGGGGGGACTTTCCGAGGGGGGGGTAGAGGGATGAACTGTAGCCCCCCATTGGTGCAGTCGCCCCCACAGGCCACAAATGAAACTCACCATCTCCCCTTTTTACCACGTGGTTTAGATCTTCACGGCCGACACCTCGGGTCTCCCAGGTGGCTCCTGCCTGCGGGTCTGAGCTCCTGGGGGCCTGTCCTTGCCAGGGCATGTTGCCAGGCTTGCTTGTTTACAGTTTCTGGGTGGGGGAGCACCAAGAGATGCCCACTTCTCTGGATGCCTGAGTGCCAAACACATTCCTACCTGCCCTCATCACGTGGCAGGTGGCTCTACACACTCCTAACGCTGCGTGCGGGTCAGGTATCCTTACCAATATGGTCACTCCCTTCTGTGCCCACTGATCTACTGGCACAAATTGTCCCACGTGCTCATGTGGTAGCCACGGTTTCAACATTACTATGCCCCTGGTAGAAGTGTCCTTTGGTAACACCTAGGATCTCTAAGCTCACAGCACTTAATGTTGCAGAACAGGAAGCACAATTCCTGTTGTAGGTCACTGGGTATTGTGCCCATTAGGGGGAGAGCCTCATGAAGTGGTTATTGATATAAAATACGTACTGCTTCCTGGAGGCTGGCACCGCACTTCCCACCTGTCATCTCCAAGGGGGAGCGTCACCTGGATCTCCCTGAGGTGAGCCCTTCACTCTAGTACACCATCGACTTCTAGATGCTGCGTTTTTGGTGGGGATGGTGGGTTCCCGGTCATGTGCCCATTGCCACACTCCCTTTACCATAAAGCAGGTCCTTTGGTAACTAGGCACTTATGTGGGATTCCATGTCAGCAAAGTGGACACTTTGTGAGCTCGGTAGTGGTGCTGGCCGAAGTATTGCAGGCAGAAAAGGCAAACCCACATCCGGATCCATGAATTGTTGCTTTTTCTAGGACAGAAAGGATCCAATGTAATCAACTTGCCAACAGGCAGCTGGTCGACTCCTTCAGGGAGCTCGGCCCTGGTCTCTGATGCTGACGGGTTACATCTGGCAGTGGCAGTAGATGGGTCAGCCTTGCTTACAAGGAGCCTGTGCTGTCAGACAGGTGTAGCCTCCACCTGCTACCACGATTGCTTCATTCAGGAGACCGCTGTGCCAGCAATATGGGGGCAGAGCACAGAGCCTGGCCGATGCTCACCGGCCAGTCCATTCTGTCTGCTTGTCTGTGGTGGACGCTTGCTGGCGCACTTTAACATGCAATGCACACATCTTCACTCCGTGTGCCTGTTCCCAAAGGCCCACTCACGTGCCTTGTCCTCAGACCTTTTTGTTCCCGAATTTTGAGGTTGCCCCTTCCAGGCTCCTGACCAACCAACCATGTGCCACTGTCCATGAGTCCCAGCCACATCTCCTGCCGCACGAAATGAACAGCTTGTGAACAAAGTTCACTGCCTGAAGCGTTGCCTAGCGACAGGACTGCCCCTTAGCAGTGTCTTTCAGAGCAACTGCTGAATGGGGACGTAGTGTGGCAGCAGGCCATTTTCAGCGCATACCAGCATATTTAGCCAACCCTCCTATGAACCATGCACATGCTTTTTGCTCCTCTGTCACTGTGTCACAGGGAATCCCCCTGACGCAACTGGCGTGAGCTGATAGATATTGATGCTACAGTGGTAGGTGACATAGGATCTGGACCTCTGTGTCTACATCAATCTATCCAATCGTGGACCTGCCACTTAGATTTTGATGGACCCCCTGACTTTATGTCTTGGTAGCATGATGCAGCCAACTGATGGGCAATGCTGGCCTCACTTTTCATGTCTCATAGAAACATTCCATTTCTACCAGAGTCCAATAGCAAGCCAGAAGTTACTTTCTGAGTTGCTCATATCTGTGGATTTGTAGTCTTTATCAAATTTGAAAAGAAATTCCAGCCACTATATCTTCGAATAATATTTCTGTCTTCTTCCCACCCCCCATCCCCATTACACATTTATTGGGCCTCTTGAAATTGTCCCACAGTCACTGCTGTGGGGTTCATTCTTCTCAGGCTCATTTCTGTGTTTTATTTACTTTCTCCCTGTCTTCCAGTTCACTTTTTCTTTTGCTGTGTACCACCTGCTGTTAATTGCATTCAGTGTACCGTTCATATCCGATATACTTTTCACATTTAGAAGCTTGATCTGGGTCTTTTTTGTCTTCTCGGTCTCTAACATTCTCAATCAACTTCTACTCCTCCCTCCCTCCCTTCCTCCCTCTCAGCAAGCTCTCACTGGCAGCTCTATGAGCCAGGCCTTGTTCCTGGGTGCAGGAGAAACAAAAATGACTGATACAGAGGTGCCTGGGTGGTTCAGCTGGTTGTGTCTGACTCTTGATTTCAGCTCAGGTCATGATCTCTTTGCAGTGAGATCACCCCATTCTCCCCCCTGGCTCGCACTGGGAATGGAATCTGCAAGATTCTCTCTCTCTCGCTGCCCCTCCCTCACCTGTGTGTGTGCACAAGCGTGGTCTCTCTCTCAAAAATCAATTATTCAATCAACCAACCAATCAATCTCTTTAAAAAGAAGTAACGAGGGTGCCTGGGTGGCTCAGTTGGTTAAGCATCTAACTTCGGCTCAGGTCCGTGATCTCACAGTTTGTGAGTTCAAGCCCTGTGTCAGGTTCTGTGTTGACAGCTGGGAGCCTGGAGCCTGCTTTGGATTTTGTGTCTCCGTCTCTCTGTCCCTCCCTCGCTCACTCTCTGACTCTCTTAAGAAATAAATGGGGGGGCGCCTGGGTGGCTTGGTCGGTTGGGCGTCCGACTTTCGCTTGGGTCATGGTCTCGCGGTTCGTGGGTTCGGGCCCCGCGTCGGGCTCTGTGCTGGCTGCCGGCTCAGAGCCTGGAGCCTGTTTCAGTCTGTGGCTCCCTCTCTCTCTGGCCCTCTCCTGCTCACGCTGTCTCTCTCTGTCTCCTGGAGACAAATAAAACATTTAAAAAAAAAAAAAAAAAAAAAAAAAAAAAAAAAAAAAAAAAAAAAAAAAAAGAAAGAAATGGGACAACTGGGTGGCTCAGTCGGTGAAGCATTGACTCTTGGTTTGGCTCAAGTCATGATCTCACGGTTCATGGGTTTGAGCCTTGTGTCAGGTTCTGTGCTGACAGTGCACAAGCCTGCTTGGGATTCTCTCCCTCTCTTTCTCTGCCCCTCCCCACTCGTTTTCTCTGTCTCTCAAAAGTAAATAAACATTAAAAAAATGACATACATAATTGTAGAGTCTTGTCTGGAAGTACTCCAAGATCAGGGGTCACTGACATACACAATATGTCTGACCCTTCTGGGGGCAAAGCCAAGGAGGTCCTTGCTGGGGAGGACCTGTTCCGCTGTTCTTCCGCCTGCCCAGTGCTGGGCCTCAGCTTCCTATGGAATAAAGGGAACAAGAAGCTCTGCCTCCCTGTCTCCCGGGCCTTTCGGGGGTGCTCAGATGAGACAGCAGGAGGGAGAGGTTAGGAGGTGCTGGCCTGGCCTCTAGGCTAGCCTCTGGGTCACTGGCAGGTGGCCTGGTCTTGACAATGCCCCGGCCTACACCCATTCTACTGGCTCTGCGGAGAATGGTGCTCGTTCATCAAGCGTCAGCGGGCCAGGCCCTGGGCACCAGGTAGCCACCCTGTGTGCGGTACCTTATCACCATTCACAGACCGCGCGTCCTGACTCCACCCGGCCTGGGGCCCCGCCCACTCCTCCGCGGGGGTTCCGGACCGAAACTAGCCCAGGGCAGGGCACAAGGGGCCGAGTCCAAGGGTCCGTGCGCTGGAGGCGTGCGCCAGGTGGAAAGGGAGCGGACGGCCTCCCCCCGGCCCCCCAAGCCGGGAAGGGACAGTTTGGGACGGCTGCTGCGAATCCCGGCACCTGGCCCGCAGGAGGCCTTCCCGCGGGTCTGGCCCGCGACAACGCGCGCGTGCACAAGCGGGTCCGGGAGAGCAGGCGCCGCTGGACAGCCGGCCCACTTGCGTCCGCGACGAGGCCTGTGCGGCCGTGGCCCACGGTGCCGACGCAGCTGCCCAGCCGGCCAGGAGTGGGGACCCTTCCCCTGCGCGTAGGGGGCACACCCGGCCGCAGCCGCTGGGGCCCCTGCGGTCCAAGGCGGCCGCAGGCGGGGCCTCCGCCCTTACCCTCCCCCTCACAGCGTGAGTCCCACCCCCTCTGCACACGCCCGCCTCACGGTCAGCCAATCGCAGGCAGCTTTGCTGGGCGGTGCGGGGCGGGCTGGGCCTATGGGGTAGCGCGTCGTTGGGCTGCGGTGCCGCAGGCCGCACCCAGCTCCGGCGGCGGGGGCAGCGCCGGGGGCTGAGGGGGCGGAGAGGCCGGGCGGGCCGGAGCTGCGGGCTGGGGAGCGCGCGGCGGGCAGGGGGCGGAGCCCGAGCCCCAGCCCGAGCCGGAGCCGGAGAGCGGCGGCCGCACTCGGACCTGGGAGCCCGTGCGCTGCCTGCGATTCGCCTCTGAGGTGAGGCCCGCGCAGGGGCGGCGGCGGCGGCGGGGCCCGGAGCGCGGCGGAGCGGCCCGGGGCCTGCGGGGCCTGCGGGGCCTGCGGCGGCGGCGCCCGAGCGGCGCGGGAGGCCGGGCGGCAGTGGGGGCCTCCGCGGAATGTGGGGGCTGCGCCGGGCGGGGCGTTGGCGGGTCTCCAGTCGGGCGCGGGGCCGCGCTGGCAGGGGAGGGGGGGGTCCCCGCCGTGCGGTCGTCTGCGGCGACCGGGTGCGGAAGGGACGGCGCTCTGCACATGCCGGGCCACTCGGGCTTCTCCGTGGGAGCCTCCGGCAGCCCGCCTGTGGGCTGGGTGGTGGGCGAGGGGGTCCGCGAGGACGAGGAGGCGCGGGACCCGACGCTGGGCCGGCGGGTGCCCGCGACGGCCGGGTCTGTGGCCTGCGGCGCCGGCGGCTCCGGGCTTGGGCACGGTCGCGAGCATCCGGTGCCGCCCGGGGGCTCTGGTGTTTTCGCGCACGACGGGGTCCGCCCGCCAGACCTGCGTGCGGACGGCGGTTACGGAGGGGCTGTCGGTCATCGCCGTCCCCCCTCGCGGTGCTCTCGTTTTCGCTCGTTTGGGGGAGGTTTCGAGGGCTTCTGCCTTTAACAATAACATTTGTTTGTACTCTTGTAATTACGGCTCAGGGTGTTTTGTAGGTGATTTGTGTTCACTTCTTGCATACCTACCTCGAAATAAATATTTTGGTTAATTAACCCGAAACTGCTGGTGGCGTGATCATATACTTTTATGCCTACATGACCTGAAACAACTTGCGGTTAAATTCCTAAGGATAAAAACACGTCTGGTAGCTGTATGCATTGCTGGTAAGTTATTACAGAAAGATTTTTTTTTTTTTCATGAAAAATGCATTGAAATCTTACTGGGCACAAAAAATAGGCTTGGTCCTGTCTCTCTCCTTTGCAGAACCTCAGTAGAGGCCTCCAGTGGAAGCGAGCGCGAGTGGAGGAGTGAGAGTTCGGGGGGCACCAGAGAGGGGGGCGCATCTGCCCCCGGGGTGAATTGTATCAGCGTCACATTGTCGAGTCCAGTCTTCAATGAAAGGGCTGATACTAGTGAAGTATCAATTATTTTTTAAAATCCAAAATTTTAATACATCCCTCGATTCTGATTGTGGGGAAAACTAGAATAGTAAAGTGTTTTTTTGTTTTTTTTGTAAGTTTATTTATTTTTGAGAGAGAGAGAGCGCCAGCAGGGGAGGGGCAGAGTGAGGGAGAGAGAGAATCCGGAGCAGGCTCTGCACTGTCAGCACGGAACCGACTCTGGGGTTGGACTCCCCGGACTGTGTGAGATCCCGACTTGAGCTGAAACCAAGAATCTGCTGCTTCACTGAGCCACCCAGGTGCCCCCGTGAAGGTGTTTTCTAAGGAAGTGAATGTTTTTGGCAGTCAGAGCTGCTTTTCAGAGTTTTGATGTGCTTTGCAGCAGGGCAGCTGGTATGATTTGTTTTTCCTGCTTGTCGGTATGTTTAGATTATAGTCCCAGAGGCTCACTGAATGCCGTGAATCTAAATTCTACCCAGTTTCCAAAAGGTGAGATAGTTTTCTTCTTGAAAGTTAATTTACACAGCTGGTCATTTTCTCCTTTACCTCTTTGACATTATCTGGTACAGACAAGGTTATGTTTGGTGTTCAGCCTCACGTTGCTGATTTTACCATAAAGAGCATTTCTGTAGATAATAGTCCCCAGTTCGTTGAAGGAGTCATTTTATTGTCAGAAAAGCAAGTACTGAAGTCATTTGAAAGATACTTTAAAGAATATTGTTAAAAAAACACATACCCAGCCAGTGTTAAAATTTACTTTGATTGACTCAATTTTTAACAGTTTGATAACTAAAGATGTTTTTATTATATGAAACTCAACGTATAAATTGACGTATTTACTTTACATGTTTAATTGTTCTCGCGCACGTGTAGAGACAATGGTGTAGTAATTCCCTGCTTACCTTTATTCAACTCCCAACAGTTATTGATAGCCGGCCTTTTTTTTTTTTTTTTTAAAGTTTATTATTTTTTGAGAGAGGGAGAGAGAGGATCCTAAGCAGGCTCCATACTGTCAGCTTGGGACCCGATGAGGAAACTCTTGAGCTGTGAGATCATGACCTGAGCCAAAATCGAGAATTGGGCGGTTAACCGACTAAGCCATCCAGGCGCCCCAGTCTTTTAGAGAGAACACGAGCACTGGAGGGGCAGAGAGAGAGGGAGGGAGAATCCCAAGCAGGCTCTGAGCTGTCTGTGCAGAGCCCTCCGCGGGGCTCCCTCTCACAAACCGTGAGATCATGTCCTGAGCTGAGATCCAGAGTCAGCTTAACTGACTGAGCCCCCCAGTTGCCCCTCGCCGGTCTTTATCTGTATACCCCAAGCCCAGATTTCATGTCATTTTAACTTAAATATTTCAGTGTTTGTATTTACATACCTTTTTTAAAAAGGCAGAAACAGGTAGCACCGTCGCAGAACATGAATCATTTCTCATTACCTTCCTGTATCCAACCAGTGTTGACATTTTCTTGATTGTCTTACAGTTTTAATAACGTTTGAATCAGGATCCAAATGCGATTTATACAGTGTGACTTGTTTTAATCTGTAGGTTCCCCCTCCATCTTTTGTCTTCTCTCTTGTGATTTATTTGATGAAGCTCTGTGGTTTCTCCCGGGGAGTTACACCCAGGCTGGATTTTCTTCTGTACTGTAGTGTACACAGAATTGATGGTAAACTGGTAGGTAAGTCAAAAGATGTGATCAGATTCAGGATTTATTTTTGGCAAAAAAGACTTCATAGGTTAGTAGGCAGATTATGATTAGTGGTCTTATTAGCAGCACTCGATGCTCAGGGCCCAGCGTCATTATTTTATTCGGTTTTGGAAAATGTTCATATTTTAATGCTTCATCGTTTATTAGCTGGAATGCTTCAATAGAGAGAAATGTCTCCATAATTTGGTTACCCCGAAGTTTAGCTCTTTTGGGAAGAGTAGGATAAATGCTTAATTGCTCTCCATTATTTACTGGTTCTCAAAATGAGTTGGAATCCTCCAAAAGTAGCCAGTGAGTTGTGCGTGTGTTTGTGTCTTTGTGAACTCACGGATTTGAATGTGTTTGATATGGTTCAATCCATTGTAGACATTGTTCTTGTTGATGCTGAGATTGTCTAATCTTTGTCTAACAGGTATCTATTCAGTTTGGCTCCTAAATCCTTTAAAGAAGACTCTAAAGTCTTTGGTCTTCATTCTGGTGTGACACACCCCACCAGGCTCATCATGTACATTTCTGTCCCAAGCCCTGGAATCATCCATTTCTCCAAGGGGCCTTGGTTTCTTTTAGTGAAGAACAGCGTTTAGTAATGATAGTCTGTGTCCTGGGGTAGTTCTCTGCTAGGTTGGTCACTGTTTTTAGGTATTTTCAGTGCCCAGACCACAGGTTACTATACGGAGATCTACTTAACCTTCTTGATCTTACACCTGTATCTTTTTTTCTTCCAAGCCAAACAGCTTGATTCTAACTACTCACTGTTTTATCCCATACGGTACACATTTGAGTCTCAGAAGAAGAATACAAAAACTGCCATTAAGTAAGAAAAATGGAATTGTTTTGCATCTCCATGAGGGATATAAAGTCAAATTAGTGTATTTTAAAGCTGCTTAGAGGGGTGCCTAGGTGGCTCAGTTGGTTGAGCGTTAACTTTTGGTTTTGGCTCAGGTCATGATCTCATGGGTTCGGTGGTTCGTGGGTTCAAGCACCACGTTGGGCCCTGTGCTGACTGTGCAGTGCCTACTTGGGATCCTCTCTCTTCCTCTTTCTCTGCCCCTCCTTTCCCCACAATAAATAAGTAAACTTAAAAAAAAAAAGCCACTTAGAATAATTACTCTGATTTTGCTGCTACTGGGTGCATAGTTTTTTTTTTCTTTCAATATTTAGAGATTGCTTTTTAAATATTTTATTTTATAATTAAATAAAATATTAAAGAGCTTTCACAGTCAGATGTGTGAAACAAGGTATAGGCAAAGAAGCTTCCTTTGTCCCTTCATCTTTACCTAGTCTCTCTTCCCTGTAGATAATCTTTGTACATTGAAATTTCATAGTTACAATCACACTTCCTCTTTGTTAGATGGATGGTAGTAGTCACATCTCTTGGTGCCTTAAAGGTCTCTTTTAGTTGTGATAAAATGCATACAACATGAAATTTACCATCTTAACCACTTGTAAGTGAGCATCTCAGCCGTCTGTACAGTCGTGTTGTAGCACAGCCGTCACTGCTGTCCGTCCCAGACCTCCCTCCTCTTGTGAAACTGGAACTCCGCGCCGTGAAGCAGGAGCCCCGCCTTCCCCCTGCCCTCAGCCCGACTTTGCCCCTTCTGTCTCTGATTTTAACACTCTAGATGCCTCATATAAGTGCAGCCATGCAGGGTTTGTCCTTTTGTGACTGGCTGGCCTCCCTGAGCATTGTGTCCTCCGTGTTCACCCACGTGGCGGCAGGTGGCAGGGCGTCTTCTTTTCTTGAAGACTGAATAATACTCCGTTATGCAGATACACCACATAAGTGCTTTTAAATGAATACTCAACATAAAAGTCTTATCCATTAATGACTTTTTTTCCCTTATACCATGAGGTAACAAGAATTTTCAGTACCTTTTAAGTTATCGTATCGGAAGGAGATACTTCACATAGGTTTGATGTCATACTCCGAAATTCGGATGACTAGACTTAAGTCTTTATTTGGTGGTTGATGGCTACAGATATCAAAGACTTCAGTTTTGCATTTGTCTTATTTTAAATAGCTGCCATTTCAGCCTCTCAACTACAGCAGTGCTGTTTTGTGTTGGTTTCAGCAAAGTCTGATTCTGAGATAGAATCATCTAACTCCTATTGACACATGAGTCCGTTGGGAATTTGTTAACATGACATTGCAGTAGTCCGTGTTCCTCACCTTACCTGTTGTTCTTTCACCTAATATCTGTGTGTAAGTTCACTGAACTCTGAGGTATTTAAGCTTTAAAGTCTAAAATATTAGACCTATAGATTCTAAGGGGGTGAAAAACAGTGTCCATAGCTGTAGTCATGAATGCTCTTTTGCCACCATCACTTTGTCAGCTCTGCTTCCGTCATGCATCCTGAACCAGTCCTGTCCCATCTCCGCTGTCACCACCTGGGGCCTGCAGCTGTCACATCTCCCCTGGACCAGCAAGCAGCCTCCAGCCGGTTTCCCTGCATTCTTCCTACCCATTCTCTACATTTCAGCCAGGGTGATTTATTCGTAATATAAATTAGATCATGTTCCGTCTTTCTTGAAACCATTCAAAGACTGATAAAAGTGGTTGCCTTTAGGGACAGGGGACTGTGGCTGAGGGATGGGAGGGAGAATTACTCTTGATTGGATAAGCTTATATATCTTCAGGTATATGTTTTGGTTCATGTAGTTGGATTATGTACTCACAATAAAAGAAGTCATCTCATAAACAAAAACCCAGTGACTTCCCGTTATATTTAACAACAGAATCCAAATTTCTTATCATGGTCTCTGAGCTCACTTTCTGGCATTGTTCTGCTTGCTCGTTTATGCTGCATTTACAGTGGTTTTCCTGGAGCCCTGCTCTTCCCATTTAGGGAATCGCACACTGATCCCTTTGCGTAGAGTGGACACTTTATGCCACTCTGTGTAGCTGCTCTTTCTCTTTCAGGTCCCTGCATAAAAGTCCTGGGAAGAGACTCTCCCTGTCCTGCTGCCCTCTTTCAAGTAGGTTTCCCCTGTTACTAACTCAGATACTTCATGTGTCCTTCACTTTTAATGATTTCTTTGTTCACCCATGTTTTTTC